TTACCGTCGTCTTCTCTCTCTCTCTCTCTCTCTCTCTCTCTCTCTCTCTTTGTTTCTCAGATCTTATTGCTGATGAGGCTGTTAACTCCTGTTGCGGCGCGCCTCGCGAATTCCAATCGATGACCGAAGAAAATCAATGGCATCCGGTGCGTTTCGTCCGCGGACACGAAGAGGGATGTTCCTGTCGTGGCCACTGGTTCTCCAAAGGCACGACGTATAAATACCAATTCGTGGTGTGTCCTCCTCTCTTCCTAAGTCGCCGTCTCGTTTCCTCTTTTTCTCCTTCCCTCTTTGGCCCGCGGAGTCTATTTAGATAATCTTCCGCTTGGCGGGAGCGGCACTCGATGCGGCAAGGAAGCCTCTTCTTCGCGGTGGCTTTCACCAAGGTGGCATCGTGTTCCTCGTCTGTGCATCAACGATCTTTTGTCCCTGCTTCTCCTCCACCCCTTGTTTCTCTCGTGCTCGCCGCCAGTTGCCGGTGAAACTTTTTGGCATTTGCCACGTCCGTGCGCGAACTTCGGTCTCGTGATTGCAATGTCGGTCTCGTGCAATGGCCTTGAAGAGAACTCTGAGAAAAACCCCAAACAGAACATTTTGAAGACGTCGAAGAGAGTTCGAAGGAAAATTCTAAGAGAGTTTCAAGAAAAATCTCGAGGACGTTCGTAAGAGTTGTTGAGGAGAGCTTTGAACATCATCTTCAAGGAACAGCATGTAAAATATTTTAAGAATTTTTCTGAGAAAAGATACGTACACAAAATTTCTGCATTATTCTAAAGTGGAAGTGAGAGATAAGAAGATAAGAAAGTTAAAAGAACGATAAGCTTAAAATAAAATTTAAGTTATAATTTGTCAAAATAATTATTAAATATGATCCCAGAATACAATTTTTAATTAAAATTAACAGTAAAATTTGGATTTAAAAGATTTTTTTAAGAACAATTTTTTGGCCAATAATCGAACTCCTGAAGCGTTCCAAAATATTGAAAGTTTAAAAAAGATGGACAATGTGATGAATGATGAGGCGCGTGTGAATGAGAGATGATTGCACTTTTGCGAAAAAGAAAGAAATAGGCGATGACAGGACTCATCGATGCTGGTGAATTTATTCTTGGTGGGTATGTATCTGGTGTGGCGATCGTGAATTAATTTACGAATCGTTTGTTGAATATAAGGCCGATAAGCATATTTAGTATCACAGCGAGATAAACAGTGGTTTCAATTACTTCTCATAAACTATAGCTCGAATCATATAAGCTTGCCCCTTGAGATTCTCTCAATTGCACATATGATAGATTAGCAATTGTAAAATTTATATTAACTTCTAATTGTATACTATGTAAGGTACTTATCAAAACAAAATAGATTATCGATCATGATAAACATGTTTTTTTAATGTTTTTTAATTTATAAGCGTATATTTGAAATATTTAATTAATTTTTAATAATTACTTAATTTCAACAAATTTAAATCTAGCATTTTAGCAATATATAGCGCGTTAAAAATAATTATAAATGCTTGCCTTTTTATTTTGCATAATGATTATTATGCAACGCGAATTAACTCCTTTAATGCGAATTAATTCCATTTCTTTATTCTTTTTTAGCATAATTATAACGTAATATTCGAAGTAGTGTTCCACTGTAGAATTGTTAAACAAATTTTAAATTGTTAAACAATTTAAAGAATTGTTAAACAATTTAAATTTTGTGCAAATTTATAGGTAATGATACACAAAGATCATTTTCATCTAAACATATTCAAAGTCCATCGAAATATTTTGCAATATATTTTCTCAAATCAGTTTGTGTAATCCCCGAAAATTACTTAAATATAATATAATTACCCTTAAATAAATTTTTTATTTGTGTCACTTCCGTGCGAAATTGGCGAACGCATGACGAGAAATGTCCCGGCACGCGTCATCGTGCCGCCGGCGAATAAGATATAAATATCGCCGCTTCTCTCCTTT